CAACAAGGACCTGGGTGAAGCTTAAGCTGGAAAATGGATGATGAGATTTGAAGGTTTACCCCCAAACCCAGCCAAAGGCACTTCTTACCCTGGCAGGGAGCTCACCCTGAGTGTGACTGCGGGAGGCATCCAGGCAGGTTTCCTGCTGCTCCTTCCTCCTGCAGGAACAAGGAACGTTCATTTCCACGCTTGCCAGGGGGAGCTTCAGGCCTCCAGCTCCTTCCTCCCACCGAAGCCAGCGCGGCCTTGGGGTCTCCATCACCCTTTACACGTGGGCTGCATTTACTGGCACTGAAATGGTTCAGGGGCTCCGAGCCATCCGTCTCCTCCAGCCTGCTGCCTGCCAGCGAGCCCTGCCCGTGGGGAGATGCTGGGGATGCGTGCGTGGAGGGAGCAGCTGGAGCGCCGAGGCTGGGGAAGAAGGATGCTGGGAGATGGGATGGGAGGGGATGGTGTTCGCTTTAAACAGGGCTGCAGCCAGGAGGGGCCGAGCTGAAAGGAGGGGTTGTAGGGATGGGGGCTGTAGGGACGGGGTGTGCAGCATCCGTGGGAAACGGCCTGGGAAAGAGGCATAAAGCTGGGAAAAGCTGCAGTGGGTTGGGGAAACCTGCGGTGAGGAGGGAAAAGAGAATATGCGGGGGAAATGTGTGGAGAAAAGTGGAGCTGTTGGAGCGAGTCCATGGAGCCGGCTGGGGAGACACAGCAATAAACAGGATTCTGCTGGCTGCTGGGAGCTTAACTCCAACCCACCAACCCCATAGGATCAGAATCAAAAAGGCTGGGAAAACCCTTCCAGCTCATCCAGTCCAACCCCTACCCCAGCACTGCCAAGGCCACCACTGACCCATGGGACTGAGGCCTCGTCTGCACGGGGTGTGAGCACTTGCAGGGCCAGTGCCTGCAGCCCTGCTCTGGGCAGCCTGTTCCAATGCCTGAGCACCCTCTGGGGCAGGAATTGTTCCTCAGCTCCATCTAACCCTGCCCTGGTGCAGCTTGAGGCCGGTTCCTCTTGTCCCATCCCTTGTTCCTTGGGAGCAGAGCCCAGCCCCTCCTGGCTCCATCCTCCTGTCAGGCAGTTGGAGGCAGCCATCAGGTCCCCCCTGAGCCTTCTCTTCTCCACACTGAACCCCCCAGGTCCCTCAGCCCTTCCCCATCACACTTGGGCTCCAGGCCCTGCACCAGCTCCATTGGATAAGGGGGAAATACCCCAACAAGCACTTTCAGGAGCGCAGAAGGATGCACTGAAGCCCCAAGGGTCCCCTTTTTCCCCTTTCACTGCCCAAGCTCCCATCCGCAACTATTGCTCACCAAAGTGATCCAGCTCCTGAGAGCCACTGAGTGGTGCTTGTCCCACGCTGGTCCTTGTGGAAGAGCTCTGCAGCTCCTGGATAAACCCACCAGTGCTTAGCTTTGAGCCTCTCCTGCAGCACCACCAGCATTCCGCTGCTCCCATTAGCACTTCAGAGAGGTTTGAAGCGAATCCATCCAGCTTCTTGGCTCTAAATCACATCAAGCTGTGCTCAAAGCAAACAGGGTTTATAAACACATGGTTTGGGTCAGCAAAGGGGAAAGGTGCTGGGAAGTTTTAAAATCCAAAGGTGCTTTCCCAGGCAAAAAGGAAAGCACCCCATCTGATAGGGAAGAACAAACCAGACCTGGAAAACTCCCTGGCATGGAGAAGGAGGTTGGATAGAACTGAGGCTGGAGACTCCCACCTAAACCTGAGATGGGATTTCCCTGGATAGGAAGGGAAATGAAAAGCATGAGATGGGACTTCCCTGGAAACACCATTTGCACCATCTTGGAGGGCAAAATACCACTTGGGACACTCTTACGATGCTTTTCGCCAGAGCCTTTTGCCCAGATGTGACACAACAGCACAACATAAAGGGTTTTTTTTCCATTTCCAAACCCTAGAATCTCCCCCATGTACTTTTCCCTGAGCCAGCCAGCTCTAATTCCACACCCTGGAATCTCCCCAGGAGCCACCTCCAACGCTTGGCAGGCATCACCCTTTTGTGCACACATCCCTTAATTTTCCCGATGGGCATTGCTAAAGTGGGACCAAATCCATCACTGTGGGTCTGAAACAAGCTCCCTGGCAAGCTAAGGTCCATCAGCAGCCCATTGAGCTCTGCTGCAGCAGAGGCAGCCCTGGGCTTACAGAGCACGGGTGAATCAGGGTGTTGTAACCGGTGCCTCCCCATGGCCTCCCTGGGACAGACCTGGTCCAGAGCAGAATAACCCAGGCTGCCTTCAATCCCTGCGGATGCTCTGGCAGAAGGAGGGCAATGCAGTGACAAAACCCCAGTGCTAAACCCTCCTGTTACCCACCTGGGGCATTCAGTGATGTTGAGGGCTAACAAAATGCAGTCATTCAAAAGAGAAGAGATCACCTTTAATGCCACTGGGTGACCGCAGGGGTGGAGATGGAGAGGTGGGAAAGGAGCTGCCGAACCAGAGCAGTCAGGAAGCAGCAGTGTAAATCAGACTGACCAAACCAAACCAGTTCATACCTTGGAGGTTTCCTCCTTGTTCGTGCTTGAGCTGCTGTGAAACCCTCTCCTCCCTGCTTCCATAGACATTACCTGGCCAGGTCCCTGCGGAGCGAGCTGCATCCCGCTCGGCCTCTCCTGCCTCCAGCGGTTGCTGTCAGCTCTGGAATCCACTCCTGATTTATTCCACACCGGATACACACCTGGGAAAAGAAGGACACCACAGAGCTGCTGAGCGACACGACTTCTCCTGCTTACCGGGCCAAAAGCTTCCCAGGCATCTGTATTATTGGCCATCATCAATCATAGCACCAGTAATGGAAACCACACTGATTTTTGTATTTGCCATCCCATTGCAGCAGGGAGGTAAGAAAATCAAACCTAGTCCGTAACCTTGATCAAGTAGGAGAAATAAGGTTTAGAGGTACCGGACAAGATGCCCCCACTCCAGCCTTTGGGAGACTTTTCCACCCTATCCCATCTTTGCCCGGTATGGGACAAACTGCAGCCCAAGCTATGAGGTTTTGTGGGGTTTCCCTGCATGAAACCCCTCCTTTTGGGAAGGCACAAGGAAGTGGGAGCCGTTTGCTTTTATTTAAGGAGAAACAAAGTGATCAGAGATACCCAGGAAAGGGGTAAGAGGCAGGCAAAGAAAACCAAAAACCTTTTGTGTGCAATAAGGGGGACGAAGGGATCAAGAGACATTGAATGGAGAACAGAAGCTGCAGCAAACACACACATGGCACAGACCTTCCAACCTGCTGAGAAATGGAGATTTAATTAAAACCCCATCAATAAAGAGGCAGAAAACACTCCCTGGGTTCCCAGAAGCAGGTGGAGGTGGGAAAGTCAAACCAGCTTCTTCCTCCTTAGAGAGGCCTGAAGGTCCGGTTTACCTCATCCCAGCCCGCTCCTCCCTCAGCAGCTGTTTGATGCCATACAACCAGATTCCAACTGGTTTCTGGTGCCTTTGGCTGGAGAACAAGGCCCATCTCCAGCTCCTCCAGCACCGGACACCGAACGCTCCCATGCGGTCCCCACAATCACTGCACAGAGACGGACACCGTGGGTTTCAGAGGGGGCACCATGAGAGCAAAGCCCATTTCTAACCCATTCTGATGGCTGCTGAGGTGACTGAAGTCCATGAATTCAGCAGCCCCTGCCCTCGTGCCCAGCCGCAGCCCCGTTACCAAAGGTAAAACCCAGCCGGGCTGTGCTTGGCTCCCTCCTCCGGTCACTTGGCTGCAGCTCCATGCCCTTAAATCCTACGGAAAACACCTCCGTTCCCTTCCCCTTTTCTTGCCAGATTAATCCCAGGAAGCTCCCGCAGCATCCCTAATCCATCCCCACCGCTTTGTGTCACCTCCACAGCAATTAAGAGCCTCTTTTGCTGCCGACTGCTGCTTTTCATCCCATTACCGCGTCGTGTAATCGTCTCCTTGTCGGGCTGGGGCTCCTTCTCCACTTGTTACTGCTGCTCTGGCACTTCAAACACAAATTAATCAAGGCAGGAGCTGCCTTTTCATCATATTCCATGCTCTGGCTTAGCATGAGGAGCAGGCGGCCTCTCCAGGAATGCAAATACACACTTAACACCCAAGGCAAAGCACTAAGCAACAGGCTAATTCGTACAAAAGCTTTATTAAAAACGAGGACACAGCCTCCCAGGGAGAGCGTTCTGCCCCTTCTCCCCAGCCTTAACGGCCATAATTAAATACAAATAGCTACAAAAAGGCTTTGCACCTCCAGACAAGGAGGGAGGACTAATCCTCGCCTCGCCGTTGTTTCAGATGTGGATGGAGAATGTGGTTTTCCACAGTGATTTGTACCCACGCAGGCACAGAGGCCTGCCAATGGGATGAGCTGCGCCCTGCAGGATGGGGTTCTTGTTTCATGGCCCAGGAACCAGGATGGGATGTGATTTCACCCCACGTCTGTATTGCTTCAATTCAGAGAGAGAAAAGGGAATCGTTATGGCTTGGTCTTGCATCAGATACGTTACGCTGGGTAAGGAGCTGGTACTTCCAAGTCCTAAACATTGCACAAAATCCTATCCCTAGTTTTATTTCAATGGTAAATAATAATAATTAATAATAAACCCCAGAGGTACTACTGTCACAGAAAAAAAGACCAGCCCTATTTAACCACCATCTACAGCTGAGAAACTAAAGGATAAATAGGGCCTTAGTTGAGGAAAGCCTTTTCTTCTACTCATACCCCCAAAACTGCCTCTGCCTAATCCAGGACCAGTTTTAACAGCACTAATATTCAGTGCATCAATCACTGTGCCATCCTCAGCAACCGGCTGTATTACACTGGCTGTACTGCACCAGCTGTATTACACCGGGTGTATTACACTGGCTGTACTACACTGGTGTATTACAGCGGCTGTATTACACCGACTGTATTACTCCAGCTGCACTACACTGGCTGTATTACTCCGGCTGTACTACACCAGCTCTATTACACTGGTGTATTACACTGGCTGTACTACACCGGCTGTACTACACGGGCTGTATTACACCTGCAATTCAGCTGCACATTATTCAGTACAAAACCCAGAAAAGGGTAAAAAAATACTCAAAAGGTATCTATTTCTCAGCTTCCTCACAGATGTCTTCCATGTCCTGCTGTACAAAAAGAATCTAAAGCCAAACAGCCCTACAAAAGCCCCTGTGCTCGAGTCGTGCGTACACGTTAAAATGGGAACGATACAAAAGTATTCGGGTAGCAGGGGTAATATATAAAATGTCATATAAAGAGGGTTGGTTACGTATAAAACGAGGGCAGAATGCATAGAGAGGAGCGTTTCACAGCACAGGCGGCACCAGCCAAGCCCCGCAGCTCACTGCCGGCAGAACTCGCTGGTGATGTTGGGCAGGGGGTAGGCAAAGAGGGAGAAGTCCAGGATGTACTTGGGCAGGAGCTCCCTGATGAGGCGGCGCTGGGTGTTGCACAGGTAGTAATGGAGCGTTTCCGCCGTGACCGGCTTGTACCAGGGCTGCCGCTCGGGGAAGCGGATGAAGGAGGGCGACCGCACGCGCTCCAGGACGTAGTTGGCATCGGCGCTGAGCCGCTCGTAGGAGCCGATGAAGTCGTACCTGACGGCGCAGGGCTGGCACAGGTTGTAGATGGGCATCCAGTGCTCGTTCATCCTCTCCACCTCCTCGTCCAGCAGGTACCGGAGGAACTCGGAGAAGGTCACATCATCCCCGGCCGAGCTGCCCCCGTTCCGGCGGTACCTGCGGACGATCTCCACCCCGTACTTCTGCTGGTACTCCTTGATCTCCCCAAACTTGTTCCTGTAGGCCGACAGCAGCCTCTCCATGGGGTTCCGCACGAAGAGGAACTTGTAGTAGTGCTTCAGGCGGTAGCTGATCTCGTCCGGCTTCATGTCCCCGAGGAAGACCAGGTCGCTCTTGTGGTCCATCTTCACCTTGGCATCCACGCTCTCCAGCGCCCCGTCCAGCACCTTGAGGATGCGCTTCCAGTTGGAGCAGGCCACCTTGGGCACGTAGCAGTACAGGAAGCGGTACTTGTCGCTGACCAGGAGGTGCCGCAGCACCGTGCGCCGCTGCCCGGCCGGCAGCTCCCACACGCTGCGGGGCATGGCCCGCTGCCCGCACACGGCGCCGATGGTGCGGTTCCGCACGTCCCGCAGCACCTCGGACTCCAGGTCCCCGGCGGCCTCCGCGCCGCCGCCGCGCCGGGACGGCTCCCCGGGAGCGGGGTGCAGCGGCGGCGGCTTCACGTCGGCCAGGATGCCCCTCTCGATCATGAGCAGCAGCCCGCTGGAGGCCAGGATCACACCGAACATCAGCATGGAGGGCAGCAGCACGGGGCCGCCGCCGCCGCCGCCCCGCGCCCGGGCCCGGCTGCGGCCCGAGGCTGGCGCCCGGCGGAGCTCGGCGGGGCAGAGGGGCCGGGGGAGCATGGCCGGGCTGGGGCCGCCTCAGCCGCCGCGCCGCATGCGGGCACCGCACCGGGGGCACCGGGGGCTCCTCGCCCGGGGCCGGGGCCGGTGCCGGGGGGGCCGGGACGCGGGCGGGGCAGCGGCCGGCAGTGACGCGCCCGGGGGGCGGGAAGGGGCCGGGGGAGGCGGCGGCCATTTTGCGGCGGCCCCGCCCCGCCGCTGCCCTCCCTCAAGGGGCCGGGGGGGGGGGGGGGTGAGGGAGCGGCGGCCGCCGCGGCCGGGGAGCGGCCCTGAGGAGGTGCGGGACGGGAGCGGGAACGGGAGCGGGGGGGCCGTGACCGCCCCTGCCCCGCGGAGCCGGAGGGAGCGGGGAGCAGAGGAGCGGCCCCAGCGCCCGAAACGCGCTTTAAACCCCGTGGGGTTTGTCCCGGGGTGAGCGCTTCCCAGCCCGTGTGGAGCCTTCCAGCGGCTGTGCACAGGGATACGGCTTCAGTTCATGGAACCACAGAGCCCAGCCTGGGTTGGGTTGAAGGGAGCTTAAAGCTCCTCCAGCTCCAACCCCTGCCAGGGCAGGGACCCCTTCCACTGGAGCAGCTTGCTCCAAGCCCCTGTGTCCAACCTGGCCTTGAGCACTGCCAGGGATGGGGCAGCCACAGCTTCTCTGGGCACCCTGTGCCAGCGCCTCAGCACCCTCACAGGGAAGAGCTTCTGCCTAAGAGCTCAGCTCAGTCTCCCCTCGGGCAGGTTCGAGCCATTCCCCTTGGCCTGGCCCTACAGGCCCTTGTCCCAAGCCCCTCTCCAGGTTCCCTGCAGCCCCTTTAGGCACTGGAGCTGCTCTCAGGTCTCCCCTTCAGGAGCCTTCTCTTCTCCTGGCTGCCCCAGCCCAGCTCTCCCAGCCTGGCTCCATGGCAGAGCTGCTCCAGCCCTCACATCCATCCTGGTTTCCACACTCTGAGCTCAGTTAGGGTTAGGGTTAGGGTTAGGGTTAGGGTAAGGTTTCACAGCCCGGAGGAGGAGGAGGGGGTGTGGTTCCTGGTGATGGGTGCTGGCAGTGCGGGTCAGGCTGTGCCACCACCCGGGAGCCAAAGGACAAACCTTACCAGAGGCTGCAGGCATCTCCCCCAAGCCCCCTTCTGCGGCTCCCTGCAGCTCAGCTTCAGCCCTGGGCCCAGGTAAACTGCTTGAAGCAACCGGGCTGGGAAAGCCCTTCCAGCTCATCCAGTCCAACCATTCCCAGCACTGGCCAGGCCACCCCTAACCCATGGCACTGAGGCCTCATCTATAGGGTTTGTGAGCACTTGCAGGGCCGGTGCCTGCAGCCCTGCCCTGGGCAGCCTGTTCCAATGCCTGAGCACCCTCTGGGGCAGGAATTGTTCCCAATCTCCAGCCTAATGCTGGATATCAGGAAAATATCCGAGCCTTTGGCCAAACCAGCAACGAGCTGTAACCGGGGGCTCCCCCTTAGAGCCCCATGGGCAGCTTGAGCCCCCCATGGCAGCGCAGCATCCATGAGGATGCCGTTTCCACAGAGCCCCCTCACCCCCGCAGCACTCCCCTCCCCTTGCAGTGATCTTCAGAGCGTGCCACAGGGCTCGTGCGTCTCACAGGGACTCCCTCTGTCAAAAGCTTCCTCAACATCAAGAGAGGAGCAGCTCCCACTTAGCTCCCTTTGATCAGGAGCCAGGAGCATCTTGTCAGCCAGGGCAGAGCCTGCAGCTACATTGCTTTGCACTTACAGCTTGATTCTGATGTAAGGACAGCGCCAGCTCCAGAGGATGCATTCTGCCCTGCCACCAGCAGCACCAGGGATGCATTCTGCCCTGCCACCTGCAGCACCAGGGATGCATTCTGCCCTGCCACCGGCAGCACCAGGGATGCATTCTGCCCTGCCACCGGCAGCACCAGGGATGCATTCTGCCCTGCCACCACCAGCACCAGGGATGCATTCTGCCCTGCCACCAGCAGCACCAGGGATGCATTCTGCCCTGCCACCTGCAGCACCAGGGATGCATTCTGCCCTGCCACCAGCAGCACCAGGGATGCATTCTGCCCTGCCACCAGCAGCACCAGGGATGCATTCTGCCCTGCCACCAGCAGCACCAGGGGAGCTCCGACTGCGGCTCGCAGCTCCAAGGAGCCGATCCTGATCTCAGCACCAGTGGAAACCAAAGCTCTGCAATGTATACAATAATCCATGGCTCCAGGGTGAGGACTGGGCCTCCTTGTCTTGGACAAAATGGCTCTGATACCGTAAATGCCTGTGTGCTCCTGGTATTTATCCAGCTGACTTTGGAACTTGATGCTCTTAAAGTCCTTTCCAACCCGAACTCTTCTATGATTCTATGATACTGCTGCCAAAGAAGCCAAGGGAAGTTTGTGTTCCTTAGAAGGCACATTAGCCTGGCACTGCACATCCTCTTTAGAGAATCATAGAACAGTTTGGGTTGGAAAGGACCTTAAGATCATCCAGTTCCAACCCCCTGCCATGGGCAGGGACACCTCACACTAACCCATGGCACCCAAGGCTCTGTCCAACCTGGCCTTGAACACTGCCAGGGATGGAGCATTCACAACCTCCCTGGGCAACCCATTCCAGTGCCTCAGCACCCTCACAGGAAAGAATTTCCTCCTTAGATCCAATCTAAACTTCCCCTGTTTCTGTTTGAACCCGTTACCCCTTGTCCTGTCACTGCAGTCCCTAATGAAGAGTCCATCCCCAGCATCCCTATAGGCCCCCTTCAGACACTGGAAGCTGCTCTGAGGTCTCCACGCAGCTTCTGTTCTCCAGGCTGAACAGCCCCAACTTTCTCAGCCTTTTATGTCAGTTTACCCCTAATATCATATGTAACTGCTGCAGACCTACAGGTAACAGAGGGGTTCTGAATTCCAGCAGTCCAGACTGCTGAACTGGGGGGCTGCCCCTTTCATCCAATGTCTACACAAAGGAACTGTAAGGCCCAGTCCAAACAGCACAGGCACACAGTGGGATGCAAAGTCCTTCGAGGAACACCACGACCAAGCAGAGACACAGTTCAGGGGCTGCTGAGCTCCTTTGCAAGGCCAAACCCATGTCAGCGCAGCAACGAGCTGTGGTTACACAGAACGTGCCTGGTGCTCACTCTGGGTGTTGAGGAATTGGCTCCTCAAAGTGGTTAAAAGAAACCTGATGGGAAAGGTCTCCCCAGACAGACCCATTTCTGCTGGAAAGGTTCCTTTAGAAACTAAACTGTCTCAGAGGAAACCCAGCCGCACGTTACTGGGTTCGCCTACAGGTTCATGCTGCAACCCACAAGCGATGCAAGAGTCTGGTCCTTTCCTACAGGTGCACAAGGAGGACTTGTCTAACCCACAGCCCTTCTGAGGGTGCCAACCCCACATTTACCTTTGTCTCTGGGTCAGGCTGAGTAAGCACCGCGTGTTCTGGCTCTGCAGGAGGGGCTCGGGGTGCAGAGAGCCCGGCAGTGACAGGAGCTGCCAGCAGCCCGCTGGTCCCAGTGAGAACCTGTGAGCAGGGAGGGAAGAGACTTGTTAGAGCTTCATGTGACTGATCCATGGGCTCGTTCTGGGGTGCTCTGGGCAGAGCTGGGTGATGCTATCCCTGGAGCTTTGTCTAAAGGCACAGGAAACCCCCTCAGCACGGTCTGAAATGTGCAGGTTTCAGTGTGAAGTTGAAGGGCCCCTTTGCCCCATTTCAGAGTCCATCCCTCCCGTACCTCAGGCAGTGCCCACAGTGCACACAGTGCACATGGCTTGTGGCTCCACAGCAGCAGCACTTTGCACAGGGCACCCTTCCTGGCTGTGAGAGCCTGGAAAACAGGCAGGGTTTGCAGCAATGGATTAACCAGACCCGGCTCTCACTGCTGTGGGGGGGTCAATCACAGCCTGCGCTTCAAGCGTGCTGCATCCATGGGAACCCTCAAGGCGTACAAACGGTGCAGAACCCCAGGGTGCTTTGGGTTGGACGGGGCCTTAAAGCTCCTCCAGCTCCAACCCCAACCCCTTCCACTGGAGCAGCTTGCTCCAAGCCCCTGTGTCCAACCTGGCCTTGAGCACTGCCAGGGATGGGGCAGCCACAGCTTCTCTGGGCACCCTGTGCCAGCGCCTCAGCACCCTCACAGGGAAGAGCTTCTGCCTAAGAGCTCAGCTCAGTCTCCCCTCGGGCAGGTTCAAGCCATTCCCCTGGAGCAGGTTGCTCATCTCTTGCTTCATCACAAACCTCCTCCAAACCTTGCACTACTGAGGATGGGGTTGGCAGGGACATTGGCACGGGCTGGCACTGAAACCCAACCCGGTTTTGCTGAGCTTTGGCTCCATATCCTCTCAGGAGCACCTCTCCATTAGAGCAGCTGCTCTGTTTTCCAGTACAGGTAATTCCAACACTCCTGCCACTGGGAGAGCAGAAGAATATTCATCAAGACACAGGAGATTCCAGCGCTGTTCAATGGAATTGCCTTTACAAATTACAGTGGTCAGACCCACTCCAACTCCAGCTTGGTTTTGCCAAACGCTCAGGAGAGATTTATAGAGATACCAATATTCAATGTGAAGCCACAGGATAAATGGTGCCTCCATTGAGCACATCCATATGCATAAATCCAGGTTAAATTGTTTCCTTTGTTAAATATCCTTTCCTTTTAAAACCAGATTAACTGCTCTCACTGGAGGCTCTGATGGAAAGCATCTCATCTCTATAGCAACGAGGCACACGCACCCCTTGCTCCCACTCCCGTTCCTTGGTGTCATAGGAGCTGGGACCTCCTCAAGCATAGAACCATAGAACAGTCAGGGTTGGAAGGACCTTAAGCTCATCCAGTTCCAACCCCCTGCCATGGGCAGGGACACCTCACACTAAACCATGGCACCCAAGGCTCTGTCCAACCTGGCCTTGAACACTGCCAGGGATGGAGCATTCACAACCTCCCTGGGCACCCATTCCAGTGCCTCAGCACCCTCACAGGAAAGAATTTCCTCCTTAGATCCAATCTAAACTTCCCCTGTTTCAGTTTGAACCCATTACCCCTTGTCCTGTCACTGCA